ATTTCCCTTATCTAAAGTGTAGTAAAATGTCTTATCCCAATACGTACGCCTTCATTACGTGTTATGATACTGTAGTATATATAATTATGATAATAATGTACGCATGATGTATATGAAAAACACATAATTAGCTACGTTTAGCTCTAGTAACAGAGTCGTAAACAACAATGTAGTATCAGTACCGGTACATGGTATCATTCTCTACTGACCACAGGTAACAGTTAGCAGTGTTAGCACTGGTCAAGCAGTGGTCAAGCAGTGGTCACAGCTCCACGCTGGTCAGCAAATATTCAGCAAATATAACGCAGGAAATATTCCAACCCTAGTAAATGGTCAATAAATGCAAATTCGGTTCGAACCAAGAGGATGAATAGAACCAATTCAATAAATATAAATGCGAATGATCGGAAGTCGGAACCTAACCGAGACACGTAACACAGGACGAAAGAAATGCTCCCCGATCCCCCAAACTGAATCCCTCTCCCCTCTCACCGCCGAGCGCGAGCGAGCGAAGCAGCGAAGCCTTAATCGTGACGACGCATGATGCCAGACGTCCGCTGCCGCGTCGTCGCGGAAACGAAATTCGAAAAACTTTTTCGGCCCGAAAAGCAAACAGAAAATCGTCGCTTCTTATTGCGAAATCCTAAAGAAAAAGTTCATGAAGTTTCGGCGAAAACGAGAAAAGATTCTTCATCTACCCACCCTGCCAACGAAAGTTGCGTGGCGCGCCCTCACGGAGGCCCATCGCCATAGCGACCGTCGCCTTAGCAACCATCATCATAACGACCGTCGCCTTAGCAACGGTCACCATAGCAACCATCACCATAACGACCGTCACCTTAGCGACCATTGCCTTAGCAACCGTCACCATAACGACCGTCGCCATAGCAACCGTCGCCGTAACGACCGTCACCTTAGCGACTGTCACCATAGCAACCGTCGCCGTAATGACCGTCACCTAAGCGATCATCACCATAACGACCATCACCTTAGCGACCGTCATTATAGCGACCGTCGCCTTAGCGACCGTCGCCTTAGCGACCGTCGCCGTAGCGACCGTCGGCGTGGCGGCTCACCGTCGCGACGACGAGGGTGGGGTTGCGTCGGGGGTCGGCGCGCTGGCGTCAGGCGTTCGTCGAGCCGGCGAACGACGTCGCGAAGATCTGCATGACGACGGTGAGCACGATGAGCGTGATGGCGACGTTGTTCCAGACGTCGAGGCGGCGGTGGCGCAGACGGTTGCTGATGTCCATCTTGCCGACGAAGAGCAGGAGGAAGGCGAGCGAGATCTGGACGAGCACGATGAGCACGAGCAGCGTGAGGATGAAGTAGTAGAACTGCTGCCGCTTAGCCGTGTTGATCACCGACTTCGTCTGCAACGAGCGCGCGCGCGGAGACGCAGAGACAAGTGAACGTGTGAAAATGCGAAACCGCGTCGCGAAAATTTCGTCAACGCGCGAAGACGCTTTGGTTTGCGGCGTACGGGGAAGACAAGTGAACGTGCGAAAACTGCGGCGTGTGTTGCACGGGGAAGACAACGTGAACGTGCGAAAACGGGGTAATACTTCGTCTGCAACGTGTACCGCAAGGATCGCGTGGAGGCAGGCAGAGGAAGAGGAGGAGGAGGAGGAGGAGGAGCAGGAGGAGGAGGAGGAGGAGGAGGAGGAGGAGGAGCAGCAGGAGGAGGAGGAGCAGGAGGAGGAGGAGGAGGAGGAGGAGGAGGAGGAGGAGGAGGAGGAGGAGGAGGAGGAGG